CTCTTTTTATTTCAGAGAGGAAGAGGGAGAAAGAAGCATCAATGATGAGACAGAATCATGGATCGGCTGCCTCCTGCACACCTGCATTGGGAATCCATCCCAAAACCTGTGCATGTGCCCTTGACTAAATCAAACCAGGGACCCTTTAGTCCATAGACTGACACTCTATTCATGGTGACAAACCAGCTAGTGCTAAACTTTCTCATAACTTTTTTTGGGGAAAACAAACAAACCCATAAACCTGTGCCCTGGGCTGCACTATTCCCCAAAAGCCCTCATAACCACTGTGGCAAAGGCCTTTCTTAACGCCCTAGTGGGGTTGGGGTTTGGGGTTTGGGGCTTTTTTCCCCCTCCTGTTCTACACCCTCCCTCCTCAGCGTTCTCACACATTCCTTTCCACCCGCCCTGGTGCTGCTCCAGCTTCTATGTCTGGACAGTTGGAGCCCCTTTGGCCCCCAAGTCCCCTGCATGTCAAACCTGGTGGGATGGGAGAATGGGACCGTCGATGGGCCCGATGCACACTGGTGGGCAGGAAGGCAGCGTCTGGAAGGTATTTGTTTGATGAGAACAGTGACATGGAACAGACGCTTACCAAGCAGAGGGCCCAGGCTCCGGCAGCTGTATTTGATTTTAGGGAGAGAGGGAGGGAGAAGGGAAGAAAGAGAACCATCAGCTGCATTCTGCGCTCCCCATCCTGGGGATTGAGCCAGAAACCCAGGCAGGTGCCCTGGCCAGGGTGGCCTGGCTACTGATCTCTGTGCCTGGGACAGTTTCAGACAAGGGAGCCACACCAGCCCGGACCTCAGACTCTGTAGCTTCAAGCAGCACCCACCTCCCAGCTGCAGGCAGAACCCCAGGCTGCGGCCTTGCTTCGGCCCACAAAGGCTGCAGTCAAGTGTGGGACGGGCAAGGCTCTCCTGAAGTTCTGGGGAGAAATCCACTGCCCAGCGCATCCGGGGTGTTGGCAGGAGGAATGCAGGTCCCTGTGGTTGTAAGACTGAGTCTGGCCTAAGCCGGTGTGGCTCAGTGGATAGAGAGTCAGCCTGCAGACTGAAGGGTGCCAGGTTCGATTCCAGTCAAGGAGGCAGCTGATCCTCCTACATTTTTAAAAATATATATATTTTATTGATTTTTTACAGAGAGGAAGAGAGGGGGATAGAGAGTTAGAAACATCTATGAGAGAGAATCATCAATCAACTGCCTCTTGCACACCTTCTACCCGGGATGTGCCCGCAACCAAGGTGCATGCCCTTGACCGGAATCGAACCTGGGACCTCTCAGTCTGCAGGCCGACGCTCTATCCACTGAGGCAAACCGGCTTTGGTAATAAAACATATTTAAAAAAAAAAAGACTGAGGCCGCCGAGACCGGTTTAGCTCAGTGAATAGAGCGTCGGCCTACAAACTGAAGGGTCCCAGGTTCGATTCTGGTCAAGGGCATGTACCTTGGTTGTGGGCACATCCCCAGTGGGGGTGTGCAAGAGGCAGCTGGTCAATGTTTCTCTCTCATTGACATTTCTAGCTCTCTATCTCTCTCCCTTCCTCTCTGTAAAAATCAATAAAATATATTTTAAAAAAAAGAAAAGAGATTGAGTTTGTTTTCTATTGACTTCAGAGAGGAAGGGACAGGGGGAGAGAAAGATAGAAACATTAATGTTGAAAGAAGCATTGATTGGCTGTATCCTGTATGCCCCTGATTGGGGATGGAGTCTGCAACCCGGGCCTGTGCCTTGACTGTGAATTGAACCATGACCTTTTGGTCATGCTCAACCACGGAGATCACAGATGGATGCTCAACCACTGAGCTACTCCAGCTGGGCTTTTTTTTTCCAGCAACCCAGGCATGTGTCCTCGGCTGGAATCAAACCCAGGACCCCTCAGTCCACAGGCCGACGTTCTTTGTTTGTGTGTTTGTCCACACAGGTTAGGGCTTCCCCTTCCCCTTCCCCTTCCCCTTCCCCTTCCCCTTCCCCTTCCCCTTCCCCTTCCCCTTCCCCTTCTTCTTCTTCTCCTTCTCCTCCTTCTTCTCCTTCTTCTTCTTCTTCTTCTTCTTCTTCTAAGGGAACATTTATTGGGTAAATTTCAGAGGCAGGGAAAGTAATTTCTGACCTTAGCGGGTTTGGCTCAGTGAATAGGGCATCAGCTTGCAGATTGGGGTTCCCAGGTTTGGTTCCGGTCAAGGGCATATACCTTGGTTGCAGGCACATCCCCAGTGCGGGGTGTGTATGTGTGTGTGTGTGTGTGTGTGTGCAGGAGGCAGCTGGTCGATGTTTCCAACTCTCTCTCCCTCTTCCTCTGCAAAAATTCAATAAAATATATATATATATATATATATATATATATATATATATATATATATATTGATGTTTCTTTAAAATATAATATATATATATATATATATATATATATATATATTATATTATTTTTTTAAAGAAACATCAATAATGAGAGAGAAACCACTGATTGGTTGCCTCCTGCTTGTCCCACACTAGGGATCGAGCCTGAAACCTGGGCATGTGTCCTGACTGGGAATCAAACTGTGACTCAGAGGTGAGCCACGCTGGCCGGGCTGGACTTGAGTTTTAACGGCCTTCCTCAGGTCGTGAGCCACAGGAAAGGCTGGCAGGGGGATGGGGGTGGGGTCGGGGACAGTGTGTCCCTGCCTGGCATATCCCCCTTCCCCTCCATGACATGAGGTCTGCTGAGGTTCTCAGGGATCTTCTGACTTGAGGTCCAGGTCCTCCCGCATCCCTCTAGTCCCCATGGTTGGCAAACTGTGGCTCTAGAGCCACAAGAAGCCCTTTGGCCCCTTGGGTGTGGCTCTTCCACAAAATACCACGGCCTGGGCGAGTCTATTTTGAAGACATGGCGTTAGAAGTTTAAGTTTAAAAAATTTGGCTCTCTTGCCAAAACCGGTTTGGCTCAGTGGATAGAGCGTTGGTCTGCGGACTGAAGGGTCCCAGTTCGATTCTGGCCAAGGGCATGTGTATTGGTTGCAGGCACATTCCCAGTGGGGGGGGTGCAGGAGGCAGCTGATCCATGTTTCTAACTCTCTATCCCTCTACCTTCCTCTCTTTAAAAAATCAATAAAATATATTTTTCAAAAATTTTGGCTCTCAGAAGAAATGTCAGTCGTGGTCCTGTTGATATTTGGCTCTGCTGACTCATGAGTTTGCCGACCATGGGTAAGGTCAGCGGACCCCACTCCAGCACACCACTGGGTGCGCCTGGTTCATGCATGTGCCCGACAGACCCCGGCTGCTCCCTGTGCCCAGTGTCCAAACAGCTCTTCCCACAGACTCACTCCCTTGTGACTTTGAGCCTCTGTGGTCTGGCTGTTCACACCCTCCTCCAGAGATAAGACCCATCTCACCCCCAGTCCCTTTTCTGAGCTCTGGGGCAGGCCTTTCAGGTCCATATGACTCCATTTATTTGTCATGACTCGCCCTGAGGTAGTTAGAGGAGGGGGCTTAAGGGGCATCCAATCAGGCCATCTCTACCTTCCACCTGTGACCCGGGACCCAGGCTCAGGAGAAAGTCAGAAAGTGGCCGGACGTCAAGGTCGGATGGGGTCTGCTTCCCCTCTACTAGCAAGCTCTAATCCTGTTTGCACCCCCACTCCTGTTTGCACCTCCCTTCCTGCTTGCAACCCTCCCCCTGGTTGTACCCCCTCCTCTGCTTGCACCCCCATTTTTTAATTTAAAATAATTTAATTTTTTTTCAGAGAGGAAAGGAGATAGAGATTTAGAAACATTGATCAGCTGCCTCCTGCAGACCTCCCACGGGGTATGTGCCCTCAACCCAGGCACATGCCTCTGACCAGAATCGAACCCGGGACCCTTCAGTCCACAGGCGGACACTCCATCCACTGAGCCAAACCGGCTTAGGCTGCACCCCTGCTCTTGCTAGCACCTCCAGGGGTCTATTGCTGTGCAGCACCTCCAGCCCCGCCCGCCCCGCCCCTCCGGGGCGTGGCCCTCTGATTGACAGCTCAGGCCCCGCCTCCTCCCCGTCTTAAGGCGACGCCGGAAGCGGACTGCGGCCCAGAAAATCCTCGCCGCCCCGCTGTCCCTGTGTCTGCGACTTTGGTTCCCCCGGAACTGCGGCCTGGCGGCGGCGGCCGATCTCCATAGCAACACCAGAAACGTGCTCCTGGCTAACGCCTCCCCAGCGCCGCAGCGGCCGCGGACTTGGGTTCCGCCGGCGTCGCGGCCGGGAAGCGCGGCCTTGTCGGTGGTCAGCGGGAGGCGGCCGCACCGGGCCTGGTGCCTGCGGAGGAGCGGGAGGTGAGGTCGGCGGGGCCGGCGGGAGGCCGGGGCGTGCGCGGGAGGGGCCCCTGCGCTGGGCCGGGAGGGGGCGCTGTAGGCGCGGGCGGGGCGGGCCCTGGAGGCCTGGGGAGGGCGGGCTGCGGCGGGGGCGGCGGGCGCGGGCCTCAGCGGGGCGCGTGGCGCAGGGTAGGGCGCGGGCCCCGCCGCAGAGCGCGGGCGAGGGCGCTCGGGGCCGTGCGCGGCGCGGGCAGGGGGGTGGCGGCCGGCAGGGGGCCGCGTCCTCAGGCGGCCTTTGTTCCCAGGTGCCCGGGAGGCCCTGCTGCCTGTGCCCGCGGAGTCGAAGCCTTTCGGGGAGCAGGGCGGGCGGTGATCGGGGCCGGGGGGCGGGAAAGGAAGCGCCGCTGCCCCGCGGGTGGATGATGCGCAGGTGGCTGCCCCACCCCCGGCGCACATAGGAGCCTTAGGCGCCGGGTGGGCGGACGCGGGGAGGATGCTGGTGCAGAGGCAGCGGCACGTGCAGACTCGGCTCATTCGCGAACTTGCAGGGAATAACGCTCCGCACGGCGGGCGGCCTCTGAGCCGAGGCGGCCCCGGCCTGTGAGGAGGGCGCAGGCTCCCTCTGGCGGCCGCGCGGGGGATAGGCCGCGAAGTGGGGGTTGGGGGTGGGGAGAAGGGGCGGTCCCTGCACCCCTAGGTCCAAGCCGGTGTGGGGTGGGGGGCAGTGGAGGTGGGGTTAGATGTGGGGCGTACAAGAAACGGGGGTGGGTTCCGGCCCCAGAAATGATGGTTTGGGCTTAAGGAGCTGCAGGGGGTGAGTCTGGACTCTGGGCCACCTCCTCCCCCGGACGGGAGACGGGTGGCCTGGGTGTGGGATGAGCGAGGCAGGTGGAGGGGAAACTGGAGCTCAGAGAGCATGGTGCCTGCTTGATGGGTGACCTAGAGCTGCTCGGATTCCCAGAATCCCTTTAGGGGGGTGGTAACCCCTCTTTCTAGTGCCTGAGGGTGGGCAGTGCTGGGAGGAGGAGCCCACAGTTTGACAGGACGCATCCGGACTGTGCTCAGCCATGTTCCCCCTGCACCCACCCAGTCACACCCCTACCCAGGCCCCCGAGCCCCCTCTCTGCACACAGGCAGCTCCAATCCCCACCCATGGAGGGTGTGTGTGTGTGCAAGAAACCATGTGCTTCCCTCTGAACCCTGTGTCCGCACACACCCCTGGTCACCCAGTCCAGGGTGCACACACCTCCTGCCACCCCACCTCCATGTGCACTGGTGAAAACCCCCGGTTCTGAGACAGCAGATGGGGCCGGCCTCGGAGGCCCTGAGGTTGGGGTGTGAGGCAGGGGGGGGTCAGAGAGAAGCCACCAGTGAGGGGGGTGCAGCTATGGGGGAGGGGTCTCTGCCCTCTTCTCCACAGCGCTGCCCCTGGAGGGGATGGGAGGAGAGTGATAGGTATTGGGGTTGGGTGGGCGCCTAGACTGGGGAACCCGGCTCTGGAGCCTCCCTGCCTGGGTAGTGAGCAGGAGGAAGGGGAGTTGGTGGGCTGCCTCCTGCAGGCCCCCCACTGGGGATTGAGCCCAACATCCAGGCATGTGCCCTTGGCCGGAATCGAACCTGGGACCCTTCAGTTCGCAGACCTATGCTCTTATCCACTGAGCCAGGGCCCTGGGGACACCTTTGGTATTTCCACCCCTCTCCCATGGGTCTGCATGCAGGGAGCTGTGGAGATGGCAAGACAGGCAGTAATCCTGGAGAGGGAGAGAGAGGAGAGAGAATGAATGAATGAATGAATGGGGGGGAGGGTCATGCTGAGGCCTGTGCGCTGGGTGGAGCCCTGCAAGGGTCCGTTTTGGGGAGAGGAGCCGCTGAGATTCGCCCTGTCCCGCGGCCGAGACTGGAGGAAGGGGACCCTGGGGCAGAGGGCGCCTTGGCTGACCCCCCACCCCTCCGGTGCAGATGGCGGCGGCGGCGGCGGCGGCGGCGGCGGAGGCCGTGCACCACATCCACCTGCAGAACTTCTCTCGCTCGCTGCTCGAGACCCTCAACGGGCAGCGGCTGGGCGGCCACTTCTGCGACGTGACGGTGCGCATCCGCGAGGCCTCGCTGCGCGCGCACCGCTGCGTGCTGGCCGCCGGCTCGCCCTTCTTCCAGGACAAGCTGCTGCTCGGCCACTCGGAGATCCGCGTGCCGCCCGTGGTGCCGGCGCAGACGGTGCGCCAGCTCGTGGAGTTCCTCTACAGCGGCTCGCTGGTGGTGGCGCAGGGCGAGGCGCTGCAGGTGCTCACGGCCGCGTCCGTGCTGCGCATCCAGACGGTCATCGACGAGTGCACGCAGATCATCGCGCGCGCCCGCGCCCCCGGCCCCGCCGCCGCCGCCCCCGCGCCGCTGCCCACCGCCCTGCCCACGCCCGTGCCGCCGCCGCTCGCGCCCGCGCAGCTGCGCCACCGCCTGCGCCACCTGCTCGCCGCGCGCCCGCCGGGCCCCTCCGGGGCCGCGCACGCCCGCAAGCAGCGCCAGCCCGCGCGCCTGCAGCTGCCCGCGCCCCCCGCGCCCGCCAAGGCCGAAGCGCCCTTCGCGGACCCCGCCCTGCCCGCCGCCCCCGAGGAGGGCGGGGACGACGAGGAGGACGATGAGACGGAGGACGAGACGGACGGCGATGGCGAGGACGGCGAAGGCGGCGGCGCGGGCGAGGGCCGGGCGCCCCCCTCCTTCCCCGACTGCGCCGCCGGCTTCCTCCCCGCGGACCAGGCGCGCGAGGAGCCGCCCGCGCCCGCCGGCCTCCCGGGCTACGGCGCCGGCCGGGACTTCCTCCGGGGGCCGCCCGCGGCCGAGGACGTGTTCCCCCCGGACAGCTACGTCCCCATGTGGCAGGAGGAGGACGGCCCCGCGGCGGAGGGCTGTGCCGCCGAGGCCCCCGCGCCGCCGGACTGCGCCCTGTCCGCGCCCCGCCAGACCGCCGCGAAGGCCCCGGCGCCGCCCGTGGTCCTTTTCCCCTTCCACCTGGGTGCCCCGGGGCCCCCCGCGCAGCCGCCGCCGGCGCCCCCGGAGCCCGTCCCCGCGCCCCCGACCGCCTTCTACCCGGCACTGCAGCCCGAGGCGGCCCCCGGCGTGGCCCTGGGGGAGCCCCTGGCGCCGCCCGCCGCCCCCCTGGTCCCCCCTGCGCGCCCCGCGGGCCCCGAGCCGCCCGCCTATGAGTGCAGCCACTGCCGCAAGACCTTCAGCTCGCGGAAGAACTACACCAAGCACATGTTCATCCACTCGGGTGAGCGGGGGATGTGTGTGTGTGTGTGTGTCCGGGCCGGGTCGCCGGAGACGCGAACCTATGTGTGTGTGGGGGGGTGGGGGGGCTGGCTACTCCAGAGGAGCCTGGAAATGGAGCTCCCAGACCCCCCTGCGGGTTCCTGACCTCGCTTCATTGGGGAGGAGGGTGTCTCCTAAGGCGGGGTGCGGAGCAGGACCCTCCCCAGAGCCTTTGGAACCGGGTGGAGCTGGGCATGGAGCCTTGGGGGTGGGGGTGGAGCTTTGGGGTGGGGGTGGAGCTGGGCATGGAGCCTTCGGGTGGGGTGGGCATGGCCCGGTGCGGGAGCAGCGCTGGGGCCGGCTGCAGAGGAGTGGGTTGTGGGTCCGCTGGCCTGGGGGAGCGAGGGAGCAGGCAGAGGGGCGGTCTGACCAGGGCTGCAGGGAGGTTCTGGGCCTCGGCTTGTGGGGAGGCGGCTCTGAAGGGAGGCAGCTGGGGGGTGGGGTGGAGGGAGGCCCAGGTGGAGGAGGGCCAGGCCTGGGGGGACAGGTGTGTGCGATGCCAGGCGGAGCCCGTATGAAAAGCCCGGGTTTGGTCGGAGCCAGGGGAGCGGCAAGGGGAGTCCCGGGCCTGGGGGTTGGGGTTTCGCTGTGAAAGCGGGGAAGGCACCGTGTTCTGAGCCGGGAGAGGGAACGGAGGTGCGGTTTACAACTTAAAACCGCCACCGGCCAAGACGCACCGGCTCCGCGGGGCCTCAGCAGGTGCCGGTGCCAGCTGGCCGGGGTGGGAGGACCCCGCCTGGACACTGCCAACAGCTCCTGCCTGAGAAAGGCTTTTGTTTATGCCCCTGACTCAGGGCCAACGGCTGGCCTCCTCCTCTCTGAGCCTTGGGGGCTCAGCCTGCTGTCCCCCAGGGACATCGTGGTGGCCAGCGGCGGGGTGTGGGCAGCGGCGGTTTAGCGGAAAGGGGGAGGCGTGCCCAGGGCCCTTCCAGGATAAGGGTCTCCCCAGAAGGGTGGCCAGGTGTGGGCGGGTAGGTATGGGGGAGGGGAGGCCTCAATGTGGGCCCGGGGCACCTCAGTGCCCAGCCCCGATGGGCCGTGATGCCCCACACCGGCGGCTTCCCTCCGGGGAGGGTGCCTTTTGGGGTTGAGGGACCCTGACAGTCAGTGGTACCTGGTGAGATGGTGCAGGTCTGGGAGAGGGGTCCCAACCGGCCAGGCCCCATGTGGGGGTCCCCGTGGGACGGGACGGTCGGGGAGTGAGGGTTCCGGGTGGGTGGTTGTCCCCTTGGGGCGGGGTCCCTGCCTGGCGGAGGCGCCCCGGGTGGGGGGGCTGACACCTGCGCCCCGCTTTCCGCCCGCAGGGGAGAAGCCGCACCAGTGCGCCGTGTGCTGGCGGTCCTTCTCGCTGCGCGACTACCTGCTCAAGCACATGGTCACGCACACGGGCGTGCGCGCCTTCCAGTGCGGCGTCTGCGCCAAGCGCTTCACGCAGAAGAGCTCGCTCAACGTGCACATGCGCACCCACCGCCCCGAGCGCGCGCCCTGCCCCGCCTGCGGCAAGGTCTTCTCGCACCGAGCGCTGCTGGAGCGCCACCTGGCGGCGCACCCCGCGCCCTGACCCCGGCCACGCCCCTGCGGGCTGACCACGCCCACCGTGGATCTCAGCCACTGGGGCTGCGCTGTGCCGGCTAGGCCACGCCCATGTTCTGGCCACGCCCACCGCAGGGCTCCTGCCGTCCCTGCCAGCAAAGCAGCAGGTACCCTGACCACCGCTGGCCACACTGTCCCCTGAGCACAGGACCCGCCCCTGCTTCCACCCTCATCTCCACTGACCAGGGGCCCAGCTCGCCTTGCTCCGCCCACACTCGGACCCTTCCAGGTAGTGGCGGGCAGGTGCTGGTGGGGATCTGACTGCCTCAGACCTGGGACCATCAGACGTGGCGTGGGGGCCCAGGATTCCTGCTCCAACTCCCGGAAGTGGGGTGGGGTTCAGAGCTGCTCCCGCACTCCAGCTGCAGACGGGGTGGGACCCCTGGTGCCCTCCCCAAGCCGCCCCTCACCTGGCACCTACGGGGTCTCGGATGTGCCCCGCAGGGACTAATAAAGGACTGGACGTGGGGTTTCTCGCTCTCGTTGGGTAAACACAGAACGGTCCACTTGGTTGTCTGGTGCCTCTGTTCTCGGGGGTGGGGGGCATCATATGACCGGGCCTGACCCTCCTCGTCCGCGGTCCTGTGGGAGGGTACAGGCCAGCCCCACGTGGTGTGTCCTCAGAGGGGGCCACGTGGGGGAGCCCTTACTTTTGGGGGGCCAGTTCTTTGGGGGCTAGCTGCCACCAGGGGACTGAGCCCCAGCACACCTGCCCTGGCAGGCACCGTCTGCAGTGCCGGGTGGGCAGTGTCGGAGGAAGGTGGCTCCTCTCTCGCCTCCAGAGCAGGGTGGCCTCTGATCTGCCCTGGGGATGTGGGGCAGGCTGAGGGGGAGTCCAGCCTGCACGGGGTGGTCTGCTGGCTCCAGGCCGGTGGCAGTGCCCCAATCCGGCCAAACCCCACCTCCCACGGGTGAAGGGGAGTCAGGCTGTGCCCGAAGCCCACAGGCCTTGCTGATACGTGGCCCTGGCCAGCGGTGTCCATCCAGGCAGAGGGGCACAGAGGGCCCTGCAGAGCTAAACAGGTGGGGTGAGGCCCAGGACAGGTGGGGGCTGGGTGGACAAGGTGAGGGATTAAGAAGTAACATCGGGGAGGTGCAGAGCACAGCAGAGGGGTTGTAGTCGGTGTTGTGACACCTGTGGTGCCGGGGGAACCAGATTTAGGAGGGGGTTGCCTTGGAGGGCGTGAAAGCGTCCAACAGCCCCAGCCCATGTGGCTCAGTGGACAGAGCCTTGGCCCCAGGACTGGAGGGTCATGGGTTCCATCCCAGTCACTGGCACGTTCAGGGATTGCAAGCTCCACCCCCAGTAGGGGGCGTGCAAGAGGCAGCAGATCCATGGTTTTTATCCTTGATGTTTCAATCCCTCTTTCTGATATCAATAAAAGTACTTTTTAAAAAGGAGTAACAGTGCCCTCTGGGTGGCGGCTACAGAGTTTGGACAGGTCCAGACCTTAGACTTAGGAGAGGGCACGTCCTGAGGGCAGAGCCTCCCAGCACCGTTACACCAATAGCTGGAATTGTCAGCTGGACCCTGTGGTCCCAACACGTGGCCCCATGTGCTGAGGGATTTAGGCTGCAAGTCAGCAAAGCTCGATCAGCAGCACGTGATGGAGCAGGATCCAAACCCACAAGAATGTAAACATCTCCACTCCCTTACTCTGGCTGTTAGAGGCGAGGGCGTTGTCTGTCCACCCGGGAGCTGCATGCCACCCAGACCCAGCCCTCCTCCCCTCCTCTGTCTTTCCTAACCTTTCTCCGCCCCCTCTCCGGGTGGTCACTGGACCTGGTTGAGCTGGCGCGGCACAGCACCCTGGGGCTGAGGATGCCATGGCCCTGCCGGCTCACCATAGTGCCCAGCTGGTGTGGCTCAATGGACAGAAGGGTCCTGCGGGCTGAAGGGTCCTGGGTTCGATTCCGGTCCAGGGCATAGGCCTGGGTTGCAGGCTTGATCTCCAGTGGGGGCAGGCGTGCAGGAGGTAGCCAATCCGTGATTCTCTCATTGATGCTTCTGTCTCTTCTGAAATAAATAAAAATATATTTTAAATGAGTGTAAGTTCCCAACCACTCTGCTGCGCAACCGGAGCGAATCTGCTGTTGAATGTCAACTGTCACTGAATAGAAATCTGGGAGCAGAGTCCCGGCGGCGGGTCGCTCCGCCCTCGATGCCACCTGGACCCCCGCCAGGGGCCAGAGGTTGCCGGCTAGCCCCGCGCAGGTGAGCGCGCCACGAGCACAGGACAGACGGCCGGTGCGGGGAGGACAGACAGACCACCGGGGCCATGGGCACAGGGCGCCGGGCACTGCTGCTGCTGCCGCTGCTGGGGCTCCTGCGCGCCGGGGGGCTGCCCGCCTGGCCCGTAGCCGCGGCGCCCGCGCTGCGCTGGCTGCTCGGGGACCCCGCCTGCTGCGCGCTGGCCGTGCTGGCGGCGCTGGCGCGGCCCTGGCTCCGGCCCTGGGCGCCGCCGGGGCTCAGCCTGGCGGCCGCGGCGCTGACACTGGCCCTGCTGCCCGCCCGGCCGCCCCCCGCGCTGCGCTGGCTGCCCGCCGACCTGGCCTTCGCCGCGCGCATCCTCCGCCTGGGCCTGCGGGTGCGGGGGCGCCTGCGCCGCGCGCCCCCCGACACCTTCGTGGACGCCTTCGAGCGGCGCGCGCGGGCGCGGCCGGACCACGCGCCGCTGGTGTGGACGGGCCGCGGCCGCCGCGCCGTCACCTACGCGGAGCTGGACGCCCGGGCCTGCCGCGCCGCCTGGGCGCTGCAGCCGGAGCTGGTGCGCCCCGAGGCCGCGGGGCCCCCCGAGCCCGCCGCCCTGCTGACGGCGCCCGCGCAGGCCGTGCCCGCGCTCGGCCTGTGGCTGGGGCTGGCCAAGCTGGGCTGCCCCGTGGCCTGGATCAACCCGCACGTCCGCGGGGCGCCGCTGGCGCACTCGGTGCTGAGCTCCGGGGCGCGGGTGCTGCTGGTGGACCCGGGTAAGGAGTCCCCTCCCCGGGCCGGCCGGCGGGAGGGAGGGCGGGGAGCGGGCCGGCTGGGCCGCCCAATGGTCAGGGGGCCAGGAGGGGGTGGATCGGAGCCCGTTAGCCTGCTCACCCCACAGGCTGGGACATAATTCTGAAGGCGCCAGGCGCTTTGTTTTTCCTTTAAAATTTTTCTATTTTAAAAGTATTTTATTGATTTTTTACAATAAAAATCAATTATATATATGATTTTTATTATTATATATATAATATAATATATATATAAATAATTGATTTTTACAGAGAGGAAAGGACAGGGATAGAGTTAGAAACATCGATGAGGGAGAAACATCTATCAGCTTCCTCCTGTACCCCCCCACTGGGAATGTGCCAGCAACCAAGATACATGCCCTTGACCAGGACCCTTCCATCCGCTGGTCGGCGCTCTATCCACTGAGCCAAACCGGTTTCAGCTGTTTTTTTCTTTAAATTTTTTTTTTTATTGATTTCAGAACGGAAGGGAAAGGGAGAGAGAAAAATCCATGAGAATCATTGATCGATCGGCCGCCTCCTGCACGCCCCACACTGGGGGTCAGCCCACAACAGGGGCATCTCACCCTGACCTGGTTCATAGGTCAAAGCTCAACCACCAAGCCATGGCTATTGCAATCCCTTTTGCCAGTATTAACCTTTTTTTTTTTTTTTTTTTTTTAATCTTCACCGGAAGATATTTTCCCGTTGATTTTTAGGGAGGGTGGGAGAGAGAGGGAGAGACAGAGAAACACATCGATGGTTGCCTCCTGCACGCGCCTTGACCAGGGTCTAGCCAGGAGGAGCCGGCCACCAGGGTCCCTGCCCTTGACCAGAACCGGAACCGAACCCGGGACCCTTCTGTCCGCAGGCCGGTGTGGCTCTACCCACTGACCCACACCGGCCAGGCCCCTGAGGTTCTTCCCAAAAGCGCAGAAGCGCCCTCTGCCGGTCGCGCCCTCTGAGGACCCGGGCGGGTGGGTTCCCCCTCACAGCCTGGAAGGGGCTGGGGGGGAGGACCGTGCCTCAATTTCCCCTCTGGCCCCCCGCCCCCCAGACCTCCGGGAAGAGGGGGAGCCGTGCCTCAGTCTCCCCTCTGGCCCCCCGCCCCCCAGACCTCCGGGAAGAGGGGGAGCCGTGCCTCAGTCTCCCCTCTGGCCCCCCCCAGACCTCCGGGAAGAGGGGGAGTCGTGCCTCAGTCTCCCCTCTGGCCCCCCGCCCCCCAGACCTCCGGGAGAGCCTGGAAGAGGTGCTCCCGCAGCTGCAGGCGGAGCGCGTGCGCTGCTTCTACCTGGGCCGCAGCTCCCCGACGCCGGGGGTGAGCGCGCTGGAGCCCGCGCTGGACGCAGCGCCCTCGGACCCTGTGCCCGCCAGCCTGCGCGCCGGCCTCACCCCGCGGAGCCCCGCCCTGTTCATCTACACCTCGGGGACCACCGGTGAGGGCGCCCCGCAGCCCGCGCCCCAGCCCCTGGCTTCCCCCCCTGGCCTGACCCCGAGGCCTGGCCTCTCCCTGACCTGACCCTGACCCCTGGCCTCTCCCCCAGACCTGACCTTGAGCCTGGCCTCCCCCTGACCCTGACCCTGACCCCTGGCCTCTCCCCCGGACCTGACCTTGAGCCTGGCCTCCCCCTGACCTGACCCTGACCCCTGGCCTCTCCCCCGGACTTGACCCCGACCCCTGGCTTCCCCCCCTGGTCTGACCCCGAGCCCTGGCCTCTCCCTGACCTGACCCTGACCCCTGGCCTCTCCCCCTGACCTGACCCCGAGCCCTGACCTCTCCCCCTGGTCTGACCCCGAGCCCTGGCTTCCCCCCTGACCTGACCCCGAGCCCTGGCCTCTCCCCCTGGCCTGACCCCGATCCCTGGCCTCTCCCCCAGACCTGACCCCGAGCCCGGCCTCCCCCTGGTCTGACCCCAAGCCCGGCCTCCCCCTGGTCTGACCCCGAGCCCTGGCTTCCCCCCTGACCTGACCCTGACCCCCGGCCTCTCCCCCTGGTCTGACCCCGAGCCCTGGCTTCCCCCCTGACCTGACCTGACCCCCGGCCTCTCCCCCTGGTCTGACCCCGAGCCCTGGCTTCCCCCCTGACCTGACCCTGACCCCCGGCCTCTCCCCCTGGTCTGACCCCGACCCCTGGCTTCCCCCCTTGACCTGACCCCGACCCCTGGCCTCTCCCCCTGACCTGACCTCGAGCCCGGCCTCTCCCTGGCCTGACCTCGGCCCCCAGCTGCCCTTGGAGGGATCAGGGCCAGAGTCTTGCCCCCTGGAGCTTTGGGATTGGACCTCTGAACCCCAAACCCAGCCTGACCTCCTGGACCCCTCCCCACCATGGAGACCCAGCCCTGCACACCAACCCCCCTTCTTCCCCCTCCGTCCCCAGGGCTCCCCAAGCCGGCCATCCTCTCCCAGGAGCGGGTGCTGCAGATGAGCGCCATGCTGGGCCTGAGCGGGGTGACGGCCGCCGACGTGGTGTACACGGTGCTGCCCCTGTACCACGCCATGGGGCTGGTCCTCGGCGTGCTCG